GAAGTGTCAGAATGATGTTCCGGCGCGTTTCGGCTCAACAACACCACTGTGCGTAATGACAAAACGCTTATTACGTTGTCGTTCAACTTCCTGAGACACCAGTTTCAAGAATAATTTAGAAAAAGTTTCTAAATAAGAATATTCATACTTATTAATATATAAATATAATAAATAATTATCATTATTTATCATAATCTTTCGAGAAGTAAGCAGAATTGGTGAATCACTCATTGGAGTGACAACTACATATTCCTAAATTAAAATTTTGCACAATTTTTTTTTATAAGTGAGAGTGTATGTGTGCGAGCGAATGAATTAAAAGTAAGAGCTAATAGAATATTGTATTCTGATTGCTGATAAAAATAAAAATGTTAATAAAAAAATATATTTTATGGGTACCTGGTATGTAATATCACGTTCCGAGCTCTGTGTGGGATCTCTCTGGCAATTATTGATGTGCGCTTTGACGACCCACTGATTGTTGAAGGCCGAAAATCGGGAAGTTTCGTAAAAGAGTTTATGAACAAATTCATCTGTGCGATATGGCTTCATTTGCAAGTCTGTGATACAAAAAAATCATATAAATTTAAACAATATCCAAACAAAATAACTGAACTGATTGTTCTTACCACTAAAGATTATCTTTTCGTAAGATAGAAGATCAAATATCTGATCGTACAACTTTTTTCTTCCTGTGTTTTTTGATCCATAACCTAAGTTCGTAAAAGTAATTAAGATATTAAGAATTTCTATTATTGATAAATAATGATATCAAATTCTATAAACCAAACCTCAAGTGCTTGCATGACCTCAGCGCCTGATTTGTGTGGGTGAACGCAAATCATTTCATGTGATCCCATTTCATGGACTGGTCCTCTCCATGGGCACCCGATACTGATCATTTATGGAAAAAATCACATGATATAAATGCATTTAAATTAATGGTTTCTAAATTCGGAGCGGTGACGCAACGGCGTCGTATATTTCGATGTTAGAATTTGGTCCTAACTAAATGAATGTAGAAATATAGTACGAAAAATAATCAATACATTAGAAGGATGCAAATTTTTAACTTCCCGTAGGGCAAGTTATAGTAATCGCAAAAAATCGAAAATGAAAATTTTTGCATTTCTCGACGATCCAAAGGTTTCTGAATATTTTGGCATACCTTAGAAAAAATGGATGTATATATGTGTGTGTGTGTGTGTGTGTGTGTGTGTGTACGTGCGGATACAAATTTTCGTCGACGATTTCGGGAACACCGATCAACCGATTTGAATAATTCAAAAAACATTCGATTCGTATTTATAAGGAGACGTGCTGATTAGTTTTTCGCGAAGGCAGGTCTAGCCATTCCGAAGATACGAGGCAAAAAGTGCCAAAAACGGTAACTCAGTTTTTAAGAGAACGGAGCGTCCGATTTTAATAATTCAAAAAACATTACTTGTATTGACAAGGTGAAGAACCGATCAAATTTTCATGAAGGCAGGTCTAGCGGTTTTGGAGATCTAATGAAAAAAGTAAAAAAAAATGCCATTTGGCGGTCAAAAATAATCACTAGACATATGCACATCTAATTATCAGATAATTTTTAGAGATTTTAACAATAAGTATAAATCTGGTTTACATTCCTATGGGTTCCGTGCCAATGTTTACGCGTTAGACGTCGACACGGCGCTTACGCGGTTTGATATTTCGTCTTTATGCAGTTAAAGCAGTACGATTGCTTTGAAAAAAAGTTTAGATCTTTCAAAATATGTCAAAATAAAGAAAACATTTTTTTTTTCAAAAAAAATAATTAAAAACAATTTTGTCTAATTGTTTGTCAAAAATCTTGTTTTTTCGAAGTAATTTTTTTTCAAAAATGTTAATTGTTTTTAAAAAATAATAATTTTTGGTACGGAAAGTTCCAGCAATTTGCCTTAAGGCACGATGCCTTAATTGCCTTAAGGCAGAATTCCACTTACAGCTAGTTTTTAAAGTTATCCCAGTTAGCAACAGATCAGACGATTTATAAGAATAAATCTCACCGGCTGTACTTGCACCCTGTTAAGCGTTCTTCGCATTCGGCTTCCTCATGTCTCTCAAGAGTATTCCTGGGAAACGCCCGCGCGCAGAATTGGCAGTCGCTGGGCAATTCTGATACTGCTTTCTCGACTGCCAAATTACGTGAGGCCGAGTTCTTGCTGAATTCGACACGACAATTTGGACATGTTGCGATCTCGTCACGAAGGCGTGCATCTGCAAGCACGTGTGTGAAACAACCAGCACACATCAGATGGCCATTCGTGCACTGAAACACGAGCATATACAGACAACGATAAAGAGACAAAACATGTCGAATGTGATTATTTACAAGAATCGTTTTTTTTTCGTTCAAAATTTTGGTGAATATTCGAAAATCGCTCTTTAAATTCAGTGACAAATACTCGGCACATTTCAATACATCAGACATATTTTAACCAAAACATCTACGTCGTTAGGACATAGTTGTTGTTGAATAAATATGTATAAATGCAATGAAATGGCAAGAATAGATTCATATTTATTTGTGAAATTATTGAAAATACATCTTTAACTTTAAAAATTAACATTATTAATTCTTCGTAAACATCAATAAATATAAGAAAAACAATCAGCTAGTTTAATGATCTCAACTTTCCTATGATCTGCAAATAAATAATAATTAAACCGATTTATTTAATTTATATTATATACTATCTCTGTCAAATAAAACAAACTACTACTACTACAATATAAAATAATAAACATCTATGGAAAAATATCATTTAAAAACTGCATTTCAATTAAATTTACCACTAATGCCACCGCACCTAATAGAACACCTGGAAGCAAAAAACAATGTCAATCGTTAAATATTGATTTAAAATTTACATTGAAATGCACATTATTTTACTTCAGCATAAATCATTATATAAAACAATTCTTATAAGTATAACTAACATTCTATTATAAATAAAGAATGTTAAAAATATTATCGAATTTTCAATCGAAACATTTTTAACAATGATAAATTTTGCACTCTAAATTATTCACTATTAAGTAAACATTCGCAAAATTTACAAAAAAAAAATAGAACGTAGTTAGTTCTTAAAAGAAGAAAGAAATATGTGAAATATATTTTCGCAAACCCGAATCTTCCTGAAATGATAAATTAATAATATACAATAGGATACATTTAAATAAAATGAAATAATATGCAGGAACAGGAAATTTTTGGTGTGGTAATCAATATAATATAATTCTTTTTATTAACAAGCGTACACTTATTATACTTACTGGAAACCTCACACGATGTTACGATTCTCTGAAGATATAATCACACGGATAAAAATAATTCATACATTGCGCATAAGTAATACTTATACATTAATATATATATAAATAAAAAACGAAATATTCACAAAACTATAAAGAACTGAAAGAGTCAAGAGCGTTGAAACAGTCAAACAGCAACATATATTTTCAATAAAATATGTTTATTTATATTAGTTAATTACAATAATCTTAATATAATTGGACCCCTATGCGATACACGTCATAATGTATAAATAATAAACATACAATCATTGCAGATTAATTAAATTACTATTATATAGTGAATACATCTCTCATTCGAAGAAAATTTTCAAATCATCGATACAATATACACTTCATTGATTAATTCATATTGTTATTGAAAATCATAATAAGTAAATATCAAAATGACATAAAACTAGAACTATTAGTACAATCTTGACTCAAAATAATAAATAGTCTAATTTTACACTTCTTTCATAATAAATAGTCTAATTCTTTACTTAAAATACAAAATTACATTTCATTCCGTAACAATTAATAGTAATAAAAATGATAAATGCCTAGAAATTTGATTTTACTTTATATAGTACATTTTATAGATTTAGTGTTACATAATGGCCTCCATTTTGATGTTATCGTACTAACTACGCAGTTTCTTTGACAATGAGTTATTGAACATGACATCCGTCAAAAATGTTTTTAGATATAATTACATATAAACAATAGTAATATATTTCAGTCATTATATTTGTATATTCATATTCAAATGTTGATAATATCGAGGGTTTAAATATCTACGTGAATACTACATGGGTATACGTCAAAATCAGCTGATAAGTACTTACTTGATAAACAGCAGCTTTTGGGAGATCCAAACACACCGCGCAACATAAAATCCCACCCAATCTACTCTCTAATTTATCGTTCTTTTCGTCATTCTTTGTTGTTATTTTACGCTTTTTTCTCTCAGGTTCACAGGAATCTGAGAGCTTTTCAACATTTTCCGAAATTATTTCGGGCTCGCCACTCGTAGAGGCGGCTTCAATTTCGCGTTCGGACATTATAATTTAATAAGATGTAAGCTCTAACTAAAAGGTCGTGTCAGAAATATAAACAATAGAACAAACTTCTATATTAACAAATTTGTACAACAAATGAAAAGCTGTTATGCGACCCGTCACACGTAATACTCATAAATTACTTCTCTAACACAGACGCGACTTACGTCAACATAAGCAATGTCGACATCAGCGCCACTTATCCTCAATTACAATTGATTACAACAGTAGTGCCAATGTAAGTTGGGTGACAGCTGTTGTATTAAATAAAAGTGTAAACTGTAAAGAAAGAGTATTAAATTAAATATTATGAAATGTTTATCACATAACACAATAGATAATTGAAGGTAAAATAAGCATTAGTCATTTTTTAATGGTATTCTCTAAAGATTATAAAAGTTAATTCGAATCGAATATAAATTCCTAAAACCATGTGACAATCACTTTTTTGAAATAACTATTATATAGAGAAACATTATTTTATAAAACTAAATATTTATTGATATATATATATATATATATATATATATATATATATATTCAAATATTTTATATTTAAATATTTTTCAATTTAAAATTATTTCTCAATGTTGGCCATCTTGTGACGAGACCGATCTAGCCGCAGTCGGATTTATGTGCGCTTCTTACTAGGCCTTATGTATAATGCAATGTCAGTTTGAAACTTCAATTAGTGAATAATGGTTTTCTAAAGCACGTAAAGTGTGTATTCTACCCTGAGGTTAATTACTATAGTAAACATGGCTATTGGACATACTCGGGTTGTCCAAGTGACAAATATCGCACCTCAGGCGACCAAAGACCAGATGCAAACACTTTTTGGTTATCTAGGCAAAATTGATGATATTAGATTATATCCTACAATACGTGATGTATCATGTCCAGTTCAGTCAAGAATTTGTTATGTAAAATATCACGACAGTTCATGTGTGGGAGTAGCACAGCATTTAACTAATACAGTATTCATTGATCGCGCATTAATTGTTATACCGATGCCGAATGGAGATATTCCAGATGAAATGAAGGCCTTAGAGATGTCCAGCAATGGCACTATTGTACCAGGACTTCAACCATTAGAACCTAAGTTACCTTCACATGTTGTGAACACGGTTGAGGGTTATGGATTACAGCAGATCATTCAGACTACGGATCCTAGACTGGAGGAGAATGGTTTGCCCAACTATCCACCTCTACCAGGAGGTTATGACCCGCGAAAAGTAGAAGAAATTCGTCGAACAGTTTTGGCAATGGAGTTGGACCCCAGCATTAAGTCAGATAAGATAATAAAACATTTTTCAGCGGCTGGTGAAATTAAATATGTGCGAATGTGTATTCGTGATAATGTGTTAGAAAAATATGCATTGATAGAGTACTCTGAACAAGAATCAGTTGTGGCTGCTTTAAAACTACATGGTACTCAACTAAACGGAAAGACTGTTAAAGTTTATCATTCGTCTCAAGCAATTATAAAACCGGAAACTAAAAGCAATGAAGCAGCTCAAAGAGAAATCGAGGAAGCTATGTGTAGAGTAAAAGAAGCACAAAGTTTAATTTCAGCTGCTATTGATCCTGTAATAGGCATGCTTTCTAAAGATAAATCAAGTTCTAGGCATCGATCAAGATCTCGTTCTAGGGAAAGATCTAGAAGACGTTCCAGATCACGATCCAGACGTCGCTCCAGATCAAAAAGGCGATCTAGATCTAAAACCAAATCTAGAAGATCTAGATCTAGAACAAAAAGATCTCGTTCTAGAACAAAACGATCTCGCTCTCGGTCAAAGAGATCTATTTCGCGCTCAAAACGGTCCACCTCAAGGTCGAAAAGGTCCGCATCACCATCGAAAAGATCTTCTTCTCGCTCTAAAAGGTCATCATCATTGACGAAAAGGTCTCCTTCACACTCCAAACAATCTCCTACTCGTTCTAAAAGATCATCTTCGCGCTCTAAAAGATCGGTCTCACGGTCCAGAAAATCACCTATAAAAAAATCTCGATCACCATCAAAACGAAGATCTCGATCAAGAACTAAACGTTCACGATCAAGAACAAAAAGAAGCCATTCTAGATCCCGAAGATCACGTTCAAGAGACAGGAAACGTCGATCTATGTCTAAAGGTTCTCGTGCTTCGCATAGATCACGTTCCAAATCAAGAGGAAAATCTTCGAGATATGATAAAGATAAACATAGAGATAGAGATCGTAAGAAGGATGAAAGGAAAGAAAAGAAATCATCTCGTAGATCAAGATCAAAGTCAAGGGATAGAAAGAGAAGTAAATCACGAGATAGAAAAAGGTCAAAGACCCCATCAAAATCTTCTAGGAGAAGAAGTCGCACTCCAAAAGAATCGAGAAAAAGGTCTAAACATTCTGAGAAAGATGAATCAAGAGTAGCAAGAAACTATGATGAAGAAGAAAAGGGCTTTGATGATGTTTTTGAAGACGGAAGAAGAGATCGAAAAACTACTAAAAATGGAAGTTCAAAGTGCTATGGTGATGAAGAACTTAGAGATATCAGATCAAAAAGCAAGAGCTTAAAAGAAAAGTATGCTTCGGATAGAGGTTCTAGTATGGAGTCTGCTGAAAGGGAACACTCACCTGATAAATCTGATAATATGGATATTTCAAATTCTCCATAACTTTTATTGAAAAACTAATTAATTATATGGCTTACATAATTTGAGAAAATAATAATTTATAATTTTCATATTCAATTTCATGTATTTTTTATGTATTTCTCAATAGTTGTAAATGCCGATAGAAAATAAAAGGTAATTTAATTTTTTCAGCTTGTGTTTAGATCAAGAATCTTTTGTCTATTAATGTTTTTTCAGCCAGGTTCCTCTTAGCAAGTGATTTTGTAACCAAAGCGAGAATCTGTAATAGAAAATATATAAACTAGTTGGGTTGGTATTTAGCCTTGAGGCAAATTACATGAACTTCCCGATATGTGTAAATAATCGACTTGATCAAAAAAATGTGTAAATAATATACTTCATCAATCCTACTTTAAAAAAAACGATAATAATTTTAGCAAAGTTTGACGAATTTTTAAAATTAAACTACTTGTTGTAAGGCCGTAATATTACAGTAAGTTCTATAAGACCATGATGTATATCGCCAAAAAAAGTTCCATGAAAAACGGCTTAAATTTTTTTTTAACAGTTAATTATAAGAAAACCGCTCGGTAGATTTTCACCTAAAATTAATCAGTACTATTCCCATCTAATATCTTTCGAACAGTTTTTGATTTTTCAAAATCGGTTCGGTAGGATGAGCTTAAATGTGGATGAAAATTTAACACTTTTTTTCAACATTTAATTACAAGAAAACGGCTCGGTAGATTTTCACCTAGAATTAATCAGCATCATTCCCAAATGATATCTTTCGAACAGTTTTTGATTTTTCAAAATCGGTTCGGTAGGATGAGCTTAAATGTGGACGAAAATTTAACACTTTTAACAACATTTAATTACAAGAAAACGGCTCGGTAGATTTTCACCTAAAATTAATCAGCATCATTCCCAAATGATATCTTCGAACAGTTTTTGATTTTTCAAAATCGGTTCGGTAGGATGAGCTTAAATGTGGACGAAAATTTAACACTTTTTTTCAACATTTAATTACAAGAAAACGGCTCGGTAGATTTTCACCTAGAATTAATCAGCATCATTCCCAAATGATATCTTTCGAACAGTTTTTGATTTTTCAAAATCGGTTCGGTAGGATGAGCTTAAATGTGGACGAAAATTTAACACTTTTTTTCAACAGTTAATTACAAGAAAACGGCTCGGTAGATTTTCACCTAAAATTAATCAGCATCATTCCCAAATGATATCTTTCGAACAGTTTTTGATTTTTTAAAATCGGTTTGGTAGGATGAGCTTAAATGTGGACGAAAATTTAACACTTTTTTTCAACAGTTAATTACAAGAAAACGGCTCGGTAGATTTTCACCTAAAACTAATCAGTATCATTCCCAACTAATATCTTTCGAACAGTTTTTGATTTTTTAAAATCGGTTCGGTAGGATGAGCTTAAATGTGGATGAAAAGTTCAACACTTTTTTTCAAATTACGAAGAAACGGCTTGGCAGATCGTTGCACAAAACTGACAAACGATAGTCCTCACCGAAATACATCAAATGGCTTTTAAATTTCTAAAATCTGTTCAGGCGTTTTTGAGAAAACGTCGATCAAAAGTCTAATTTTGACAAATGCCAAAAAGAACATACTGATTTTTGCAAACTTTGACGAATTTTTAAAGCTGAACCAGTTGTCGTAGGTAAACTATGGTATCTTTCGTCAAAATAATAATCATAAAAATCGTCAAAATTTTTTTTTAAAAAACTTTATTACAAGAAAACGGCCCGGCCGATCTTTACCAAAAACTAATCAGCACGATTCCCAACCAATATCTATCGAACGGTTTTTGAATTTTCAGAATCGATTCAGAATTGCGGGCTAAAACGTGGACGAAAAATTTTTCACTTTTCTACAATTTACAAAGAAACGGCCCGGCCGATCGCCGCACAAAACTCAGAGACGATAGTCCTCATCGAGATACATCAAATGGCTTTTAAATTTTTGAAATCGGTCCAACCGTTTTGGAGAAAACGTCGATTTACGGCAAAAAATCTGTTCACACACACACACACACACACATACACACACACACACGCACACACACACATACTTTTTCCAAATTTGGTCTCATTCGATTCAGAATGGCTCGAAACGTCGAGAAAACATAAAATTAGCGATTCGGATTTTTTGATGAAAACATAAACTTCTCCTTCGGGAAGTTAAACATTAGAACAATTTTAAAAAAGTTCTGACAATTATAAATGTTGTAATTATAAAAAAAATTATATTTGAATATTATTTAATTAGTTCCTATTGTTTCTGCAGTTTGAATGTCACAAGTACTATTTATTTTTACCTTCATAATTTATTGGATAATGTAATTAATTCTACAAACTCACTTGAATAATAATAGCGACTGTCACTGAAGACACTGCTACATTTTCACATCCAATCAGCGTCACAAGGAACATCAGTAGCTCAACGGTAGCCCAAGTCCATTCCTGGCCGTACCAAAGGACAGCATCGAATGCATGACCGCCATCAGGATAAAATACGCCTCCTATTTTCGGTGGTCCATCGACGGTGCCTGCTATTACAGTGCTCTCGGCGTCTAGTAAACGTTCGACTGGGCCTCGTTCGCGTACCTCGTAGTCCAGGTCCCGTAACGCCTGCGGCCGCACGCGACACTACCGTCGGTCAATGCGAGTTTTTTTTGTCGCAAAGCGTCATAATATCGAATAATGATTCAGGAAGCGAATATCATGGTTTAATATGATAAAACTGATAAATCTGAACTCAAACTGGTACTAATTTTCAGTACATAAAATTCTAAGATAAATCAACAATATTTACCGAAAATAACGTGACTAACGTTCTATAAGTAATCTGCATAAAAATTTGTCAAACTTAATTGTTGGAGTTCTGTTATTTAATAAATAAAGTGCTACAATAATTTTAATAAACCTCATATTTGAATAAAAATTTCTATACTAATTTTTCCTACTTCGTAGCATTTTTTATTCACAGAATTCAGAATTATTTAAATTACTTTATAAATACCACTGACTTCTATTTGCCGATAACAAGAACATAATAAGCGTAATATATGCAACCAGATATTCACTTATTAAATCATCTATATATCCAATATTCAAACTCATTTTGCATATAATATACTACTAATTTATAGTGATGTGTTATATAATTAATATGCATGATGTATAAGGTTTTTCACATGGTGAAAGATGATGAAATATTTTCAGGCATCCATCCAATAGTAAGGAAAACTAGTGGGGAGTATGGCATCGTGCCTTAAGGCAAATTGCTGGAACTTCCCGTACCGTAACGAAATGTTCGAGGAATACTGAATGTTTTCAAATAGATTATTATAAATATGGTCTAATATTTATAAGAATTATATAAACTGAATTGCAAAGTTGAAATTATTTGTTTAAAGTATATTAGAACTATAGTCAGAATTAAAAATAAAATCTGAATTATTTTCGATATACAAAATGAAATTTCTTTTGAAAAAAAAAGTTGAAACAAAATTTTTTTTCCAAAATCAATTATTTTGTTAAGACAAGCAGAAAGTTCTTTGAATCATTTAAATCGGACGCTTAGTTCTCTCAAAAACTGCCATTTTTTACACATTTAGCTCCGTATCTTCGAAATGGCCGGGTCTGTCTTTGCCAAAAGCTAATAAACACTTCTCCCAATCATTACTAATTGAATGTTTTTTAGATCATTCAAATCGGATGCTCCGTTACTGCCGGACCTGCCTTTACCAAAAACTAATCAGCTCATCTCCCTATCAATAGGAATCGAATGTTTTTTGAACCATTGAAATCGGTTGATCCGTGCGCCCAAAAACGTGACTGAAAATTTGTATCCATACATACATAAACACACACATCCATTTTTCTGAGGTATGCCAAAATGTTCAGAAACCTTCAAAACGTCGAGAAATGTAAAAATATTCAATTTCGATTTTCGGCCCATTACAGTTACCTTACGGGAAGTTAAAAATGTAGAAAAATTACTTTTTTAAAACTGCAAACATTTCAAGTCTGGTTTTGGCTCAACTTCAAATATTTCAAAACGAAACATATACATTGAGAAATTTTCAACAAATAAAGCGAATAAAAAATCTTATAATAGCACAAATGTGAGAAAGTACTCGTTTGTTTTTGTTATGTCTTTCTTATCTTTCACTATCTGAAAAACCTTATACGTCCATGTGTAATAGATATAACTTTTTTTCGTATATATTTTGGGTAATAATGATTGTCTTACATGATCTATAAATGAAGCCAGAAATCTATTGATATTCCTATAAGCTTGCACGCATTTTTCAATTCGTTCGGAATCGGACATCGCTCTGGTGCCAGTAGCTCTTCCATACCTCCCTTGCTCCGTCAAAGGAAATGTCATTTTACGATAATAAGCTCTGTATATGCAAAAATATATTTTAAAATTTATTAATTTATTTAATCGTACACCGCAATGTGAATCATGAGTGAATTTACCTCAAAGCTGATGGCAAGCGAGCAGTAAAAGTTTGCTGCGTCGAGTCTTTCAATAAACCTCTTGTTCCACAAAGACCTTGCTCTTCCCTTTGCAATTGTAGTAGCATACTTCGCATATCTGTATCGGCAAATCCATAAGGAGATCTAAAATAAGTGGATAACTAGTTTGTTTTTAAATTTCGTTTTTTGTACAATGTTTAATTTCATACCTTCCATGTATATAATAACCAAATTGATCCAAAGAAACAATCAACATTGATATATTAGCTAGGCTGCATAAATCTACAAATCTGTAATCATACAGCAAATATTGTAATATAATGAATATCAGAACACTTGATTCAAAATCAGTGATTATGAAAATTAGACATCAAAGGATTTCATCTAGAAAATTAGATTATTATGCTTACCCAACTAATCCAGCATTCATGTATCTTTCATAAATGCCTAACCTCAGCAGCATTTGTAAAAAATATAAAGATAAGTATAATAAGACCGAAAATCCTAATAAATCAGTCTGCGATAAATTATTATGGGATAACCCTAAAATCTGAAAAAAATCATTTTTATGCATTTTCAATAACTACATAGTAAATTATTTTTAATGTAGTTACTTCGGCAATTATAGCAACAAGCAAAGCATGCCCGAGACCATGGACTTTGCGGAAGACTTGGAGCTCATTCCACTCGTTCGCGACTAAATAACTTCGCCAAACGCTTATAGGTGGTGGTGGTCTGAAATCATTAAGCAATTATTGAAGTAATAATTCAAACTTCTGCTAATTATTTAATGCAAAATGTTTTTCCAACAATTACGTGATGTCATCAGTTGTTTCTCGATTTGTGCCCGTTGTGTTGGATATTGATCTTGGTAAACAATTCATTGCTCTTGGTTTTTCCCAATCAATTAGAAATATATCTATAGTTAACTGATGGTGTAATATTTGAATCACTTCTATGATCTGCATAATCAAGTGATCGTATTTATATACAAAAAAGATCATAAATTTAACATGTAATTATTTCAATGTTTACCTTTAATGCTAGTGCAACAATTAAAAATGCCTTTATTAAATATTCTTCTTCGTCGTTCCTGGATACAATTGACATTGCAGTTGATGATTGCAAAGTAAAGTACAACATTCTGGCCATAACTCCACATAACAATGCAGAAAGTAGCAGGGCATCTGATATCTTACCGCATAAAACTAGAAAGAACCTTATAAACCCATATATATTGAACACGGGAAGTCCAGAACGTCGTGAATAAGACCACGCTACTATAGCAGACCAGAATATTGCCAAAGTAGACAGGGTCAAAAGCATTGCCTAAAAAATATTATGCATTTAATAGATTTAATTAATTGGTCTACAGTATACTGTATAATATATTATACTACTGACATATATGGATGTTATTAAGCTCCAACTGCTTGTGTATCTAATCTCCGAATGTATATTTACAAACTCATCAGGTTTCCATTCTTTTATTTTGTAATTTACCAATAAAACTGGAGTGTAGATTTTTCCAGGAGCATCAGTACGTAGTTTAACTAGCAAGATGAGAGAAGATGCATATCGAACTAAGCCAGTGTGGTATCGGCGTTGTGGATAAGAATCGGTTAAGAAGAATCTACGCACTAATATCCAATTGGACGAATCCTCATTCTGGAATAAAACACTAATTTGAAAACACCGTATATTTAAAACAAATTTGTTCAAAATCTATGAGACTGTAAAAATTCTCTTTTAGAGTAGTTCGCATTTATATAACTTTATGAAACATATTTTAAGTTTTAATAATACCTCATCATATGTGTGACCCATATTTTCAATTAACACAGGCACGGGTAGCATGTAATCTAAATCACTACTTGGATCTTTATAATTAAGATATAATTCATGAAGTACACCTGCTTCTACATTTTTGAATAGGTGATGCATAGTGACGCGACATTTGGATGTGAGGGGTTTTCCAAACGATATATCACTTTGATAATATCCCGGATTACCTGTAAAGAAGAAGGATAAGAGATTTATTTAAAACATGCAACTACAAAAAATAATTTAATAATCTGTGTTACCTTCACAAGGATCCAACCAGCCAGGAGTAATAAATCGGGTAGTTATATTTTCACCATTTGCAGCGTAACTAACCAAAGTCAGGTTTAGAGGCTTATCCTGAAAGTAAATATTTGAAATAAATGAATTGTTTTTATTTTTAAATTCAACTATCATCAGAAAATGTATTAAATTTATTTAATGTTAGAAAGAGGACGATAGTTTGATTTAAGTATAAATTAAATTTGTATATACATGTAGACCAAAAACAGTATCAGGCTTTCGTCTATTTAATTCTGCATGAGCATCTCCTTCTTCATACATGATTTTAGGCAGCTGCATACCATTTGGCATTTCGGGAGGCCACAATGAACATGGTAGCCACAATTTTGAATAAAGTCTTAATGCGCAAAGATTACCTAAGCATTGGCAGCCTGATGTCATTTGCAACTACAAATAGAAAGCAATTTTAAATAAAATTAAAACTATTCATGTTATAATTTTACCTTGCACTGAAACAAACACGGCATCAGATGTTTCCTAATGACTTGCGAATCGTAAGAGTAATTTCTAAATGTGTGATCATTTTCACCCCATAGATTACCATATAAGGTTTTCGGAATGCATATGTTTTCTTCAAAAATATGAGTCTTATTAGGGCAAGTACAAACACGTTTTAATTCATTTCCAATTAATATTTGTGTTGTGCACGGAACACATTTTTTCTGATCAACTGTCGGTCGGAAGCCCGGGGAGCATTTGACACATTTCAAATTATTTCTAAAGGTTCCATTTTCATAGGTATAAACTGAAATATAAATGAAATAATCATAGTTATTTTTTGATCTAATAAAAATCAACGTGGAATAACATAAGCATGATCAAAATATGAAGTTAATCAATATAATGAATTGCAAAAAAACTGGAAAACATTTATATTGAGCCGTAAAAGAGTTGCAAAGTAAAGTATATAGTAAAGTAAATAAAGCATATGTATATATATATATATATATATAAATTTATTTCGACGATTAGCTGCAAATTATATAATATATAATTAATAATAAATTAATTATTATTATTAATTAATTAATTTTATTAAAATTATATATAATTAATAATCCGTGGATAGATATCTTTGAATAATCTTTGTTAAAAATAATCCGTGGATATCTTTGAATATTATAAATATATCATCTAAAAGATATTATTCAAAATAAAGGCGTGAGAAAAAAGGATATTTAACAAAAAATATGCAATACATTAAATATGACATAAAACAATTCAAAATATGATAGCAATAGTGGTACGAAAATAGCAATAGGATAAATTAAACTATGGTTTTGCCAAGTGCCTATTAGTGAATAGTGATGTAAAATAAAATAATTATAAATGTTTTTCTCAAATTGAATTTTGCGTACATATGCGAATTTAGAGCTAGTTCAAGAGCATAGTGTCGGTTATATATTAATAAATGTATGTATCAGAACAAGTGTCATATTTTATTGCGTTTATAATATTCAGAGCAGACCGCACACGTGTGCAACCAGCAATCTGTATCAATACAATACAAGTAATATCAGATCATGATATTATCAGAGCATCCAATACAGTTTCAATATATTTTCTATCGAATTAGATTATATTCAGATTTTTTATTATCTGTTTTCATTAATGCAATACACTATATACAAAAGAATCAACCTTAACCTTCAATTTCATCATTGCCGCATCTCTGGCAGGTCACGGATTGACTTGTATTTCCAATAAATATTTTTGTAGGACAATTCAAAGAAATGCATGCTAAACTATATTCATCGATCATATGATCACTATTAGCACATCCAGAACAGACAGGATTTACATTTAGTCGATCCCACAAATACTTTTGTCACACTGGAACTGTTACATGCGCACGATAAACCTAAAAATTCAAATAAATATCATTAAAATCGAATATACTGAATAAAATAATGTTTGTTCAAGTTTACCGTTATGAGCTGGTTGCAAATACTTATTGCTATCGCATTTTAAACACCTAAACGATAGTGAATTGAAATATTCATCATTTTTACATAACTGCCTATTGCTGTACAATAATATTTCACTTGTAACATATGAATGAATGTTAAGAAGAATAAGAAAACAAATAAAAAATTGATTATTCATTATTTTGTTATCATTTGTAATACATCGTATAATAATACTTAAGCAAAACAATAAAAGCACAACAATACGTAACCATGGAGATCGATATTTTGTGCATGAAAATAAAATTAGATGGGGTTGGCTCGTCTCATATATTTTACATGTAACTAGGGCGGCCTTCCTAAATTATAAAAATAAATACAGGGTCGCACTTTTCTTAGAAAATAATTATAAAGAAACTATTTGTACTCAATTGAGTAAAAAATGCACTTGCACTTTGAAAATGTCCGCATATTTTTCACAGTATACTCTTTTTTTCAACGATCGTACTAAATTAATTTAGTACGAATTTCAAAGTGCAAGTGAATTTTTTCTATAATATATATGGCATATTTACAGTTGAGACGATTTTTCTGAAACTCGACCAAAATCGCGTATTATGCGGAATGGGGACAACATGTTAGCATATTATGCGTGAAATTGCTTTAAGCATGCTCGGCCAAACGGCTGTCTGCATATATAAATAATTATATATATAAATATATATATATATATATATATATATATAGATGTGTGTGTATACATACTAAAATATATTTAAATAAGATTCTATTAATATTATAATATGTTCCACAATTATTCCTCAATTTGCCTCTGATGTTTTACTCGCATGTACGAACAATATAAACCAGAAGTATAAATAGAGATGCTTTAGCGATGCAAAAAATAAATATGCTTCATTGATTTTACCATAATTAAAATTGGGCATTGCATTTCAAATTATCTTTGGAAGGTAACATCCATTCTACATATATATAGTAAAACTTATTTAAAAATCAAGTAAGTTTAAAGTATTGATAAAAATAAAAACAAGTTATTTATATATTCTACTAAGTATATTTTTATTTATATACACACATATATACTATTTTAATTAATTTAAATATTTACAAGAATTTTTATCTTTATATCTTATACAAACTTTATATTGAATTAAAACATAAACAAAAAATGGCATTATACAAATTAACATAAACATTGAGTAATCATTATTTCAAATAAACTAACATATGAACACTAATAACAAAACTAATCCAATAATATGGCAACTATAAAAATAAAATCATCAGTATTTCATTGATTGTACATCGAGCATTGCTGGATATATTACATCAATTCATATTCGTAATTGTGAATCTATTAAAGACGTTATACTATAACATATCACTTAGAACTTAAATACATGCAAATGAAATAAATACTTGAGTACAAAAAGGCATAAATAAATTTGGTTTCGAGTCCTGAAAGTTATACTTATATCTTAATAGACTTACTTATACAATATGTCATGACTCTTCTGTTTATATTTTCAGCAATGATTATAATTTTTAATTTCGATCAAAGGAATCAGTCAAACCTATTGATTATTAAAACAGAATAAATATCAGTCAACATTTTAATATAAAACAATATTAATGTGTTTTAAGAGGACTACAGTTTAATAAAATTTGTCATCCAATCCTAGCCTTAAATTGCATGGATGATTTGGATAAGTTACAAAAATTATTTTGGCATTTTCTACATATATTTGTAAGCTTCTAGACACTCGAAAGCTTTTAACATTCGCACTTTATTATTATATTTAATTTTAAGTATGTTTATAGGCTTGTTTTGGTAAAATTTATACATACATATTTTTATATTTATAATTATTTTCAAGTATAATCGCTTGTATATTCTTTAGAATTAAGCTTCAATTTCATAATTTTCTCAAAAATTGTCAATATATACAAGGAAGCTTTAAATTTGAGAAATCTAGTTAGGCTCATAAAAACCTTAATAAAAGAACTAATTTTAAAGTAAATATTATATTTAAAATTATGAACCTCAATTAAATTAGAAAACATATTAACGGCAAGATATTTTACCAACAAGCTATATTTTTAAATCTCAATTATGTGGTATGTGAATCTAGCATATAAATAATCAATCTACATTTTAAAACAAAATGTGAATAAAAACAACTAAGTTCATTCGTTAATAGTGGATTAACCTCTATTACTACATGTTTTAATAATTTGTACTGATTGATATAATTATATTTACAAGCTATACAATTTGGGGATATAAAGGATTATAAGTAAATTTTATTTTGAATAAAAAAATTCTATCCATTCATTCAATGTTTATAGAAAATTGTTTTCGATTTTATAATACTAGATTTCATAATACGGATAAACGTAAGTAGATTATATATTGAATATACACAATGCATTATTACAAAAATATTTTATTATGAATGCTGTTATACTATAAACAAAGGAAAACTGTTTTTTGCAGATAATTTAAGAGTTCGGGATTTTAACGTATTACCAATGATTTGCATTATAACTAGATAATGTCTAGAAAATAAGTCATTGAAACTAAATTATAGAATGCATTAACAGTTTCAATGTTTAAGTAGTGATAAAGCATTATAATGAAAAGTTTAACTTATATTTATAATAGAGATCTTATAGCCTGAATTCATTTGTTGTGTCACGTAATATTAAACAAATACAAATACCTATATAATACAATACAATCACATTCAATTTTCATACTTATTAAAAATCATATCAGTCAGATAATAAAAAAATTACATAAGTAATAAAAATAAATCCTAATCGGTAGAATTATTCTTTGGTAAAGAATATATAAATGACAACTGCTAAAGTCGAACTCACATTTTTGTCTTATTATGATGGCACTCATCCTGATAAATCATCATCAAATCAATTATATACATATATTTTTTTTTAAATATATGAAGTATTCAAAATATAAAGAATGGATTTGCAAAATATAACCAGCTAACTGCGAGCATACATATAAAATATGTATAATACATTTCAAAGTATTTAAAACGTTTAAAAGTTTAAAGTTTAAAATAAAAACATGAACTTATGGATATCCATACGTAAAAGTACTATTTCCCAAAAATATGAAGAAACTGTTCAACTGTTCAACTATTTATACATAAAATTTCATTTAATAACACAAGATGTTTTCTTCTTTAGCAATGTCACTGTAGGAATGATCAATGAGAAAATTAAAAAAAATTGTAAAAAAATACAATTTAACTATATACAAATAAAAGATGAAAGATGAAATAAATAAATTTATGATAACAATATAAAAATACGCGCTTTATAAACTTCATTAGAAGTATTATTATCTACAGAAGACATTTGGAAGTCATTTTTTATTATCATTTATACTATAATTAAACGCAATTTATCATTTTCATTCAGAAATACTCGTGGTCTAGATATGAGTCATTTGAATTTATATCTATCACGTTTAATAACTAAGAGAAATTATTATTTAACGGAAAAATATCAATAAAAATTACTGACAAATCACAATAACTTTGTAAAATTATACATGAACATTTACGCTAACTTAATATTACGGAGATCATAGTATTTATAACAAATTCAACACAGTTCAAAATTTCTCTATTTACACATACAATTAAACTCTTGACTATGAAATCACAAGTTTTAAATACGGGCTTATTAATTATTAGGCGGCATAAAAAATTTGCTACTTATTTTAATAAACTTAATATAAAAAATGTGACAATTATCAATTCACATAACTTATTGCAGTACTTGTATAAGTTTATTTTCCGGAACAAACCTTGAAAACCGTTGTAATCTGGAATTCTCATTCTTTCTCAATATAAAATATTGAAACGACATTACGCACGTAAATATAAAATGTACATAACAACATACATTTAATTTATTGCAAAGGAATATTTTGCAAATTGTTAAGATAATATCCAAAATATTATTGAATTAAATTCAATAATGAATTAATATGTGTGTGAGATTGATTACCATGAATCAAAGAAACATTCAAACAAATAACCATAAAATAAATTATTAGAAAAAAGTATACCAACAATTAAATGAAATAATAATTACAGAATCACCAAGATCTTCTCAAGTTTCACCCAAATCTCTCTTTAACCAGGAACATCAGCTTCTTTTTGCCTTTGTATGCCAATTTCATATTTTCAATTAGTTGTTGGAATTGTGTGTGGCCATCATGTGCCAAAATAAAAGTATCACGAGCTTTGCCTAAGAAATCGATGAAATCTCCATAATGTCTTGGCGAAATATGAGTTAATCGCGAATGCGTAGTGTTTATGTACGCTGATACGGCGGCGTCCAGAAGTTGCCGTAGGGGCGGCCGGTCGTATGATAAAGGTTTCAAGGCAGTACAACTTCTAGAGGATGATCTGCTGTGATGATGATGGTGGGGATGATGATGTTTGCCTGAAAATAAAAACAATAAATTTTATATTGCTTTTCTGAAAACTGCTACATTGATTATCTATGATTATCGATCGCATGAAATAAATGTGATCGAGGAGGAGGATATACTTGGATCCCTTACCTTCGGGAGGTTGACAATGTGGTGCCGCCATGCTACATCTTCTCAAAATATCAGAAAGAACGGTGGCACATTGCACATTTTTCACCAACAATGGTATCATAGAAGATAATTCTGTTTTACCCAAAGAATGAGATAAGGCGCACGCCCAATGAATATCGTTGATTGCTGGATGTGTATCCTGTAAAGATATAGAAATAACGTCAACCTCAGTTTTAACATAAAAGAAATTTAAATTAATTAAAATTGTTATCAGCTATTTGTACCTGATTATAAGCTAAATGAACATTCTTCATGGCTAGTGCAGCCAGTTTATAGGCCCTGAATGGATGTCCCCTGTGTTCCATGTAACGCGCTATAGTAAACAGTTGACTGGAGGTCATAATGTGAGCTGCAGCGTCTATTACAATCTGGTAAGCT